AACAATTTTTAAAGGAATAATTAATTTTTTGCATAGGTTCTTGAAAATGAAACCTTTAAAAATCCATCTCGCCTTTGGAAAGCTGTACGTTTACGACTGCTTGAATATAAAGTGTACCGAAATAACAGCGCGCGCAGCGCACTAACCCAGTTTCCTGTCTAAAATTTGCGGACACTTCCAGAAAACTACCCCCATTTCCCAAGACAGATAACGCAAACTTTTCAAGACGCAAATTAAAATTGTCGGTCCCGGAATCCGAAGTCCGGAATCGTAATAAAAGTATGTTTTAATAAGTCCGCGAAAGTTGCAAGCGATGCTCCAATGCCTTTTATGCAACTGTTACTAAAATATCACAGCTTATTTTTCTGGCATCTACTTGTTCTTGCTACGTTGAGCAGCAGTTCTTTCGTTTACTTGACGTCAGAGCTACAGAAGAGTATAATATTATTAGTAAGATGTACATATAATATTGCAGTGGACATTGCATGTTTCAACCATATACAGGGTGTTCCTTAATGACATGCGAATATTTAATGGTGTGATTCTGCATGAAAAATTAATGTTAGTTTAATTTATAAACTATGGTCCAAAAATGTTTCCTTATAAAAACTCGGGGTGCTGATCTTTTAGGAAGAAAATAGAAATTAACTAATATTTTCAGAACCGCTCCAGATATTTCTCTGATACTTAGTACGTAGTGAAAGTTGATAAATTTGCATATTTTTCAATGCAAAAGTAATTTTTATCTTTAACAGTGGCATGCGAACGGCTGTTGAATTCGATATTTAAAAAAATGGTACGCCAATGGCTTTTTGCCAAATAAAAATTGTTTTAATTCCCCGTTCAATTTATAACAAATGATCTCTCTTAGATTGTTATCCTTCGATGAGCAGTTTTTGAGAAAAAAAAAATAAAAACCGTATTGTCCGAGAAAATTAATGCAATAATTGAAGAATGCAAGTTAGCAATAAATATCTAGTTGCTCTGGAATATGTCATATCTAACAAGTCTCTGTTATTCAAATCTGATCGCTGTGACATCTTTTTCATTAGTTTTTACAATCTTGTTAACAATGGTGAATTATGCAAATGCAGAAATGGTGGAAATGCATTACGTATATGGCCTTGCCGGCGGTAATGGTGAGCTAGCCAGACGGATTTATCACCAGAGATATCCCGATCGTGCTTTGCCAGATAGTCGAACCTTTTCTAATATTCATCGTCGTCTTGTTGAAACTGGTTCTGTCCGAAAAGGAACATCTGAAGGTAGACCTTTTAGTGTAAGAATACCTGAAATTGAGGAAGCAGTGCTGCACGAAGTCGAAGAACATCCTGAAACGAATACGAGGAAGATGTTTTGTTATATCCTTACCATATTTTAAGAGTACAGGCATAACTACCCATTGATTTTCCAAGGCGTTTGACCTTTTGTCAGTGGTATCTTCAAAAAATTACACAAAATCCGCAACTTGAATCAATGATTCTGTTCACGGACGAAGCTAATTTTTCTCAAAATGCCATTCAGAATTTCCACAATAATCATTTGTTGGCAGAAGAAAATCTCAATGCCGTAACCGAAACCCATTTCCAACACCAATTTTCGGTTAACGTATGGGCAGGAATTATTGGTAACCACTTTATTGGCCCATTGTTCTTGCCGGGACGACTTGTCAAACCATTTTTCTGCCTTTGCTGCTTGATGATGTTCCATTAGAAATAAGAAACAATATAATAATAATAATAATGATAATAATAATAATAATAAACGTCTTTATTTCGAAATAGACTGATTATATAAAAAAATAGCCAAATACGGGCGAAGTTCAGCTGTAGCTGCTCTTCCACTTAACCCGCTATAAAAAAGTCCACAAAAGGTGAGTGAGACCTACTTATTCTACACATTACAAATATTAAATGTATATGCAGTGCTTACATTAATACATCTACTAAAATGAATCATAAACTTGTATCAATATTTTCCTGAAACATGGTTACTACTGCTGGGATAAGAGATATTTTTTTAATTGAGTTTTGAAACTTGAGATGCTCAGAGTTTTATATTGTACCGGAAGGGTGTTATAAATGGAAAAAATTTGGTAGCTGAACGATCGTTCAAATTGGGCTGTTCGGAATATCGGCGGTGTCAGCAACCCCCTAGATCTTATATTTATGTTATGCACATCTGTTCGAAATGTAACTTTTTCAAATAAGTAAGTGGGGGTCTTATACATAATTATTTTATGATATAATGTTGCGGCATGCAAAAATCTTATTGTTTCCATGTTCAACCAATTCGCATCTTTCAACTTATGGGATATTCGGTCTCGTCTTCTGATGCCATATATTAATCTGAGGCAAGAATTCTGCGCAACCTGAATTTTTTGTTTGTGAGTGGCAGTTAAGCATGGCCATACAACATATCAGAAAAATTGAAGTGCGAGAGCACCAACGACTCACATAGATTTATTTTGACTTTAACGGGAAGGTTACGTATGTTGCCGTACAATATTTTTAAAGAGGAGTATGCCTTACGAATGAGCGAATTTACATGTTTTTCAAATCTTAAATTTACATCCAATGTTACACCCAAGTTCTTTGCTTCACTGACAGTTTCAAGTTGTTGTGCATTGATGGTAAAGTTAATTGAGTTAGTAACAGCCTGGCGCGCATGCTTTGGCCCAAATACAATTACTTTAGATTTGCTAGAGTTAAGATGTAAACAATGTTCTTCGGCATTCTTTATCAATAATGATAAATCTCTGTTGATGGTTGCACTCACAGTGTCCACATCACCGGGTAGAAAAGTATGACACAGCTGAGTGTCATCAACATAGCAGTGCATTTTGCAAGTATTTAAGCCTTTGCCCAGGTATGAAGTATAAATTGCAAAAAGGAGTGGACCCATAATAGAGCCTTGCGGCACGCCTGATTTTAAGGCTAATACGTCAGAATAACTTCCCTCCAAGAAAACCTTTTGCTTTCTGCTCTTTAGATACTTACTGAAAAAGTTGACACTATCCGAATCGAGGCCTATAAAATGCAATATATTTAGGAGTAAATTAAAATTGATAGTATCGAAAGCTCGACTAAAATCCAACATTATCAAAACCGTACACCTTCCCTGATCAGTGGCTCTGATAATGCCATCTGTTACATGTAGAAGTGCAATTGTACAGCTAAAATTCTTTCTAAAACCAGATTGAATTGGAGAAAGCAAATAAAACTTTCATAGATGTTCCATCAATTGCAACTCAACCGCTTTTTCTAATAATTTTGACAATGCTGGTAAGATGCTTATTTCTCTGAGGTAATTAAAATCTGAAGCTTCCACTACGTACTAAATATCAGTGAAATATCTGAAGCGGTTCTGAAAATATTAATTAATTTCCATTTTTTTCCTAAAACATCAACACCCCGAGTAAGGAAACATTTTTAGACCATAGCTTATAAAGCAAACTAATATTAGTTTTTAATGTAGATTCACCCCCTTAAATATTCACATATCATTAAGGAACACCCTGTATAATATATATCTTCTGCACATATGAGCAAGCGATCGAGAAGATCGAGATGCCATAGGCTTCACGTACCGAAGGTTATAACTACATATTAATCAGTGTGCTACGCCACTTGTCGCAACCTTTTTGCTAGGTTCAAAATGTTCCATCAATAGATTTTCTTGAAGTATCAGAGAGGAAATAAAAATTTAAAAAAGCTATTACTTCATGAAAGAGTGTGGATTAAATGTCAAGCAATCATAAAGAAGTGTGACTGGAATGATCGTACCATAATTATCATTATTAAAAATTCAAATTAAAAAACAGTAGATGAAGGTTACTGGAAATAGAAGAAACGTTAAAACATGAATAAGTGTCGGCATTGATTAACGTGTTATACCTGAAGCTAGCCAACGTAATTCTATATTCCCGCGTCCAATAAATTATTCTAGATAGAATAAAATACTGTAGCGTCGTCTATGAGAATCTGTCATAGCTGCTTCTATGTTCGCCATTTATACACATCGAAAAGAATAATGTATCATATGAGGTCTCATAGATAGCGCTGCAACCATCTGTATGCAGCGCCATCTATGAGTCACCATCCTTTTCAAAGTATATATGATGAAAGAAGAAACCTATGTGACAAATTCTCATCGATCACGATACGGTATTTCATTTTATCTCAGATAATTTTTTGGACGCGAGAATACAGTATAAGATTCCGATAGAATATGCCAATCAATGGTGTCAGTGACGTCAATCCCGCCATGTCAATATATTCAAAGTTATGATCAACTAAGAAACCAGCAACACCATCACAAAATAACAGATGTTCGATGACAATGATATCTTTGATAACAATCACAACTACGTACTTTACAAAACGACTTGAATAATTTGAATTAACGGTATTATATCGTTACAAGCTAAATCTTAATGTCGATAAATACTACACGTCTATTTCACGCAAACTTGTTCCAATCAAATCCATATAAAGAGAAATCCGAATAACACTGACGTCGTAATGTGTACGAGAGGGAAGCGCGAAGAGTGTGCCCATGGCAATGAAACAAGCTGCAGCAGCGTCCGTGGCCTCGTCACTCGGGTTGCTAGGCAACGGGGTTCATCTATCTCTTTCTACCATACGTATTGTATGCTTCCGCGCTTCGCTCTCGTACACATTACGATATCAGTAGTATATGGATTTCTCTACACGGATAATTCATAGCTAAGCATCTGTCAAGGCTTTCATGACCTAGGTGTATTATCTGATACCAAACTTATATTTGTTGGACATATTGATGTTGTTGTTAGCAAAGCTTATACAATGTTGGGCTTCTTAATCAGGAATTGTAGAGATTTTTGTAATGCAAATACCACGATTGTATTGTATAATTTATTTGTTCGAAGCAAAATTGGATACTATTCTATAATATGGTACCCTGTCTATAAAGTTCACTCTAATAAGATCGAAAGTATTTAGAGGCGTCTTGTGGAATACTCATGGCACAAGGAAGACGGTACGTTTCCAGAAGCTGTCTCAGGCAGATATAACCTCTGTAGATTGTAAATATTTACTTGGTAAAATACTCTTACATATACAGTAGATAGGGTTTGTATGTTCTGGGACGCCCTTGAGCGCCGACCTTCGGTGCCAAACGACTTTAAGAGCTGACCTTCGGTGCCAACCTTGAAACGTGACCTTGAAGTGTGACCTTGAAACGTGACCTTGAGTTTCCGAGCAACCTTGCAGTGTGACCTTGAGTTTTCGAGTGACCTTGAAGTGTGACCTTGAGGTGTGACCTTGAAATGTGACCTTTAAGTGTGACCTTGAACATATATGACCTCGAGCACTCTCGACCTTGATTGGATGTGACCTTGTAGGAGTGAACGACCTTGAGATGTAGATGCGATGACCTTGGAAATATATGCTTAAATTGTGGAACTCGCCGAGAGAAGTCAGTTCTGTAGTTGCAACTGGCGCAAATGGTACGGTACTAGTGGGATGCAGAATATAATATTGGCGAAGAAAAGTAGGTGTTTAGTCAGTCAAACGGAGAAACTGTTGGAGCATGCGAAGGAGTTTCGCTGGATTCGTAGCTGGTGTTGTTGCGGGACATTTTTAGTTTATTGTTGGACGTGTACTCAACACCGTCACCTTAAAATGGGGTTGATCTTCGAAACGGATGACGAAAATCATTAGTGTTGGAACCGGGACAGTAACAATGAAGATGCAGATAAACCACATCCTATAGAAAATATTACTAAGAGATATAAAGACACTGTATCCCATATCGATGAAACCATATGTAAAAACGCATATCTGGCTGATTGTGCATCACTGAAGAGTCTAATCGATGTATTACAGCAACATGATATTAAATTTGTATTTTATATAGAAAATAAGATAAGACATTATACTGTATTTAAATTTTTAAAGAAAAACGTAGCCAAAGGTAACATTGGAGATAAGTCACTAGGATGGAGTCCTGGACCATGTGGTGTGAAATGGCCATCTACCAAATTTGAAGATTATGTTGCATGTTTGAGTGTCTTATGCGATTTATCCAAAACGCAATAATTCTTTCTGTGTTGTATGACAGAAATATATCATAAATAAATATATCTTCATGAATGGTAGTATCATTTTCCATTGCACCTGCACCAATTTGTGGGAGGAGAGTGTTTGAGAGTGGAGGGAGTATCGACACTGTATAAAAGTAGCTACTCAGCATCACATACCAGTCTTCTACATTTCACATAGTGTTACAACATGAGTAGTACGGGTGGGGGGAGCAACGCTATCATCTAAATCCATCTAAATCAAAATGAATCACGATTGGGCGAGCATATCAGTGGAGCTTCCAACCTGTAATCAATATGAAGGGTTTAAAAACCGAGGGCGTTACGTTAAATGAAGAAGACTGGTATGAAGTATTGAATCAAGAAGGCGTTATAACCATTTTTTTCTTCAGTGATGATATTTTCCATCCGATCCAATGTAACTTCTTCTGTATCAACTTTGATAGATTTTCAAACCATCAAAATTGAAGATCGGTGGAGTAACGTAGTTAATTTGGGTAAAGAGACCGTATTGAAGTTATTTCAATTAGCCCCGCTGGCATACCAATATCCACACTTGAAGGAATTCAACAAGGTTCCAACACTGAATTTTTCTTCAAATTATTTATCCAAACTATTCTCAGCATATTTGTAATAAAAATCTTATATTACGTAGAGTGTTTTATTGAAAAAAGTTTGCTATAGAAATCATTAGAGAAAATAGAGGTACATTGGTGGTACAAGTAAATCACTTTTTTTAATCCACGAATTGTAGCTGCTATCCGGTCCTAAGGACTTGACTAGCACTTTATTGCCTTTACGTCGAATCACTTTCTCCACAAGATAGATGTTTGGATACATGACTTTTTGAAGCTCTTTAGCCTAAAATCCACCTAGTATCTCGTCACCACGCCAATCTGCCAATAAGTATGATGTAAGATTGGTATACTGTACTTGCTGTTCTATGTTTGCTTATGCGGACATGATTCCCAGTTTGATATTTAACACCCTTTGGCTCTACCGTTTTCAAATCTGTATAAACCGTATTCAATAATTTTTTTTCTGTACGTTTGTTTACGTCTTTGGGTTTGATTCCAATTTTACTGTGTTTGGTGTTATTATACCCGTCAACGACTGATGAGAGGATATCTGGCCATTTGTACGATCCCGGAAGGCTGAACTGCTTCCACATACGATTCTTTAAGGTCCGATTCACCCTTTCAACTACACATGCTTTGGTCGATGAGTAGGTGCTGTAATGATTAATTTTGTACTCTTCCATCAACTTCGTAAAATCACTATTGTAGAATTCTTTACCCAAGTCTGTTTGTAAATTTTTTGGAATTGGCTTCATGTGCGACAAAATCGCCCTCATCGCAGTTGTAAAATCTTTTCCGGTTTTTCGTTTGACCGGTTCTGCCCAGACAAATTTACTAAAAACGTTGATGACAATTACAATATATCGGAATCCTTTGTTCACTTTCTAATACTGAAGCATTTCCACCAAATCTGCCTGCAGGAGATCGTTGACCCTCTTCACAATAACGCGCCGACGTCTATAATTTCGGCGAGCTGGTTCTTCAACAACCTGCTTTTTAAAGTCGATCATTGTTGTATCAATGGACAGCGCATTACAATATTTGCTATAAGCTGCTCTGGTCTGGGTTCTTTAGATGTGAAGAAATGGAGAATATCACCTTACGTGAGAGGTGTGTTGTCGGTGAGACTATTTAAACCAATTGTCACTCTTACTTTTGGCGGAACATTTATACTATCAACTATCCCAGTCACAGGAACGATATAGTCCTTGCTATTGCCGTTAAAGGTGTAAAACTGATCGCTGGATGTGGAGGAATAAATGGGTACCACACATACGGTGGATAGGTTGGATGTTAGAGAAGTACTGAAGATTGCAGCAGTGTCCGTCTTTTTTGAGCGGACCACGAATTGACTCATCTACATATTTTCGAGGTACAGGGTGAAAGTCTTCAAGATACTCTTGATATGCAGGTGTATCAATTAGTTGGTGTAATTCTTGCGCCACTCGAGCCACGCTTTCATTGATTTGCTGGTTTTCCGTCTCCAACACCGTAGCATTTGGAGTAAATTCTTCCACGGTATATACATCTCGACTGGCATTTGGCTCCGGAAGGTTTGAATATGTATCCTCGATAAAGCTGTAGTTGACAGATGGTAAATATCGTTGGTATAAATTTTCTGACAATTCTTTATTGAATGATTGTCGTTTCTTCGGTTGATCTGCAATTCTTGTTTAGGTCCTTCAACTTATGATAAGAGTTTTTGCAACGGTTCTGAGATCGGCTTAAACTGTTGTTGTAATTCCCTTTCCGTTGCTGCAATATCTGATTTAAGTGTGAGATACTTTTGTTTAACCGCTTTCGTGGTTTTGACTAGTTCTTTGGCCAGTTTTGGATCCATCTGTCTACCTTCGATGTTATATAAGTACTACTAAAAGATTTGCACAGAGTATAGTTATATATATATATATATATATATATTACTGTTACCAACTTATGTTGCTGCTAAAACACTTTCTATACCTGCCTCCCTGTCTTGGAGAATCTTTATCAACCACTACAAAGCTATGTGGCTCTTGAAAAAAAAACTGTATAAGATTTTAAATTCGTTGAATGACATGTCTAGACTGATATGATCATCATAGATATGTTTCAGATTCAAATTGTCTTGAGGAAATAGTACGAGTAGGTTTATGTTATCCCTTAAATTATGTTTGGGTGCGGCAGTATACGTTTGACAAAGACAGAAACAGTCTGTATTACGATGCCACCCAAAACTGAAATATTGTCTTAATATATCCTGATTACATTATGAAACGTCGTCAAAAATTATTACGGAGTTTGGTTTAATGTTTTCTGGTGTCGCAATGTTTCCGTCTTCACTGTATTCATAATACCCTATTTCGTGAAGCGGTGTTAGTAGTTCTCGTAAATATTTGTACTTGGGTTGGTACAGCGACTTGCAGTACTGATAAACGTTCTCAAATCTCAATCCATTAGCATGTGTTAACAAACTGATCATTACATTAGTTTTTCCAGATTCGCTTGGGCCTACAATTAACGCGCGCTTAGACGTACCATTGAATAGGTTACCATGTTTTCTAAGCACACCTTCCTGTGCAAGTCCATGAAAATTCGTCAAATGTACTTGTACGGCTGATGGTTCGATAGCCTGTAAATTTTACTGACATCAATACTTCGAGCACAGTCTACTATACAGGGTGTCCGCAAAGTTGGAGTTTTCCTTTACATGACGTGTAGATCTTGAAAACATAAGCAATTTTTCTTAGTACCATATACACCAATGTCTTAACGGAACCAAGACAAAGGGCTCTGCAACATCAAAAATATCTGAATACCGTCCTGTAGCCGCGACACGGGACATCACCGATTGGTACAAGGTCTCAACCCGACGGCAGAACTGGGTCGGGGTCAGTGTGTCAGGTCAGTATGCAACCTTCAACCGACGGTTACGGTCACGCGTGTAGAGGTAAACGAACCCATATAATCGATTGCGTTTCAAAAAACAACAAGCACTAGAGACGTGGCTAGAGAAGTGCAAGTATCAAAAACTAAAGTGTGGCAAACGCTGCGTGAAGAGGGGCTGTATCCGTTTCACGTCCAACGTGTACAAGCCCTTCAACCTGACGATTTTCCAGCAAGAGTGCGGTTTTGTGAGTGGTTGTTGCATCAACATGACAATAATCCGGACTTTTTGAAGTGCATATTGGTGACAGACGAATCTACGTTCACGCGTAATGGGGTGAATAACTTTCGCAACACTCATGTTTGGTCATTACGCAACATTTTGCCTTCCTTGTTTGTCTGCGTCTGCTCGGTAGCGCATCAGCTGATTTCATTTTCTGTTGGAGCGGTATGATTTCAGGCAGAGACGTACTTAGCCCTTCTCGTCAACTGGAGGGTGAGTACATTTTCCTTTATTTTTTTTTACTTGGTCGCCCTCGTTTCACTACACATTACCTTTGTTATTTCAAGGGTAGTTGTTTCTGAAAAGGAAAACCCCAACTTTGCAGACAGCCTGTATATCTGAGAACTGTTACTTGATAGAAGCATATAAAATGACTGCATTCCGTGCGAGGAGAAACAGTCACAAACCGACCGTTACAGTGCGTGGTACGCGTTTCATAAATAAACTTATCGATAAACTACCACTTGAATTGTACATCCCGGGAAGTAATTTCTGTGGACCTGGAACAAATTTAAAGCAACGCATTCAGAGAGGAGATACCGGAATTAATCGCTTAGATGAGGCCTGTAAGCAGCACGATCTTGTTTACGCTACCTCCAAACAAAGTGAAATTCGTCGTAAAGCCGATAACCTCTTAATTGATCACGCCCTCAAGCGGGTTGCTGCATTGGATTCATCGCTTGGTGAAAAAGTAGCTGCACTGGGTGTCTCAGCGGTCGTAAAGATGAAGCAGAAATTGGGTAGTGGCATGAGTCAAAAAAAGTTTTCTTCTAGTATTCGCAAATCACAACGCATTGTAGGATTGCGAAAAAAAGTAATAAGCGGACATGGTCTCCGTAAAAAACGAGGCATTACAAAAAAGTCGACTTTTACCGATACCTAAAAAAGGGGGATTCTTACCTATCCTCCTTCCCCTACTTGGTGCGCTAGGTGCACTTGGGGGTGGAGCGGCGTCAATTGCCAAAGCAGTCTCGGATGCGAAAACCAATCAGGCTCAGCTAGCTGAACAAAAACGTCACAACTTAGCGTTAGAACAATCTAAACAAGGAAAAGGGTTATATTTGGCACCTTATAAAAAAACTGCTAAAAAAACTCCCTGATCATGCTCTTTCTAATATAGGGTTACTTCAATTGGCTAACCAACTGAGAATTCCAAAATTTAGGGAAGTTTTTATGAGAGATGATTTACCACATCGAATTAGAGCTAAATAATTATTAATTTAGATAATTCATCAGGTGTTGGATCCCACTAGACTGCATATGTAAAAAACAACAATCATGTCAGATACTTTGATTCATATAGTAATTTACGTCCCCCCAGAGAAGCTGTGCATTATTTTCGTAGCAATCATGATGTCTCTGATATTGAATACAATTGTGAGTCCATTCAATCATTCAACTCACATAATTGTGGTCAGCTATGTTTGCGTTTCCTATATAAAGCTGGTGCAAGGTTCAATCAATGAATATTATCGTCTACTTTTCAACGCATACATCATGCCGATGACATTTACCCTTTCTGACAATTCTCCTACGCTTTAAGCTGACTTCAATCCTCCAATCTATCTTTCAGTTGATGATGGCTATGAAATTGGGTTGTGTGATTTTGAATCCTTCAATGTCATTCCTAATGTTGATGCTTCCAACAATACTTTTGTATACTCTACATATTCAATTGCCAGTGATCGCCAATCGTTTAAACTTCCTATCGGTGCCTATGAAATTTCAGAGTTGGCTACCGCCTTACAACAAAAACTTCCATCAGGACTGCAAATTAGTCTCACTGCCAACAAAACTACATCCACCGTTACTTTACAAGCCAATTGTGACATCGATTTTTATTCAAAAAAGACTATTGGTCGCATGTTGGGTTTTGAACCTCGAATTTTGCAAAAAAATATACTGCATAAGTCCTATTTCGCAATATATGCACTCTGTATCGGGTGTAGCATAGCTGCAGGTTCTTCCAGAAATGGACAACCCAGTCACATCATCCATCAATTTTTCCCAACTGTTCCGGCTGGGTATAAAATAGTGGAAGCACCGCAAAACATAATTTATTTTCCTGTGAGTGTTAGTACGATCAACACCTTGACTGTTGAAATACTTGATCGAAACAACGATCTTGTAAACTTTAGAAACGAAACCATGACCATACGTTTACACTTGCGCAAAATATGTAATGGGTATTAGATACAATATTCCACATTCGGTGCTTTCCAATCGAACCTATAAAAGCAAGATTCGAAGAGTTTCTACTGTTAGTACTCCACCGACCAACGTAACGTCACCTCGTCCAAATAATAGACGTCGTCTAACGATTGATAATCGTCAGTTTTTAAAATCGTTGGGATTTCAATTAATCTAACATCAGTATTTTGAACGTGTCAGAACAGCCATTACTTGACACCTCTATTACTGAAATGGAGTATCACACCCATCAACCGTACATTAATGCTAATTTTGATTGTAATGATGAAATCCGAATTGCTATTCAAGAATTGGATACCTTCACTTTACCGTCCCAAAGCTATCTTTACCTTGAAGGAACAACACTCACTAAAGCTGATGGTTCTCCAGCTGAAAACTTTAAATTTGTCAATACCGCATTTAGCTTTTTGTTCCAAGAAATTCGTTATGAGTTGAATGGTGTTGTTGTTGATTCTGTTCGAAACGTCGGACTCACTTCAACATTGAAAGGTTATCTTTCTTACAATCAAAATGAAAGTACTAAATTACAAAATGCTGGTTGGTATCCCAAAGAATCGCACTTTTTAGTAACCGGTAAATTCAACGTATGCATTCCTCTAAGCATGTGGATGGGCTTTTTTGAAGACTACCGCAAAATTGTATTGAATATGAAACAGGAATTAGTACTCATAAGAAGTAATGATGATAATGATGCAATTAAGGTCGCTACCGCCGAAACACCCAAAATTACTATTGAAAAAATACAGTGGCGAGTCCCTCATGTTTCCGTCGACATTCCTCAACAATTGGCTTTGACAAAACTTGTTAACAAAAATATTGATATTCCATTGTACTTCCGGAGTTGGGAACTCGTTGAGTATCCCTCCCTTCCCGCTACGACTACACATACGTGGGCAGTGAAAATAACTACGAAGCTAGAAACACCGAGGCATGTGATGCTCGCTTTTCAGACAGATAAGAAAAACCAACTACAGTCAAATATGTCTACGTTCGATCACTGCAAGCTAACCAATGTTAGAGTGTTTTTAAATTCAGAACGATTTCCTTATAATGATCTCTATCTGGACTTCCCCAATAACAAATATGCTGCCTTGTCTGACATGTTTTCAAAATTTCGTCATTCATATTATGAATCCGAAAATGAACCATGGTTTACCCCTGATGACTTTAAAAGTTTGGCACCCATCTCACATATCGACTGCTCTAAGCAGAAGTAAAGTATTCAAACCGGTTCGGTTGTAATGAGAGTAGAATTTGAAACAAGTGAAAATATACCGCCAAATACATCCGCTTATTGCCTTATTCTCCACGATCGTCTTTTTTATTACAACCCTTTGACAAAAATCGTTAAACAACGTTAAACTTATGAGTCTATAAAAACCTCATTTCCCACGTTTCCTGGCTCATTTACTACAAAGCTCTTAAGCGATACGTCTCCAAACTTAAACAGTTAAGACAAGACATTGAATCATATTGCTTGCAATAGTGTGTTTTCCATCAGTTTGCTGTTTTGCGAATATGAATCTTGTTTTAGATGTGCAAGGATTCAAAATCGAACATAATAAATATATTGTTAAAGAACTTGCTGGGTATGATGGACAACAAATATGTCACTATGTCTTCAAGCCCCCTTTTGCTCTGGATCTGCTCCCACCGGACTTACAAGAACAAGGTACTTGGTTGATGCAGCATCATCACTGTATATATTGGAACTCTGGTTTTACTCCACTACATACCTTTTCCAAAAATTATGGATGACTTAACGGAGCATGCAGATCAAATTTTCGTCAAAGGAATCGAAAAAGCAAACTACTTGAGATTGTTTTCCCGCAAACCAGTCATCGAATTTGTCGAACAGCCTCGTTTAGAACCCGCTAGCACTGCATGCTTCTATCACTCCCAGCCTATCACCATGTGTGCACTATCCAACGTATTTTTTTTGTATAAGAAATTTATCATGTCATAATTTTTTTAAATAAAACAATTATTAAAACATATTAGCTTTTTTTATTCAATGAGTTGTCAGGAAACAGCATGTAAATGGTTATCGATATGTATTGACAGGAATATTTACACAAATTATAGAACATCTTTTCATTTGTACAATCACACTGCATCGACATTGAACCGTTTGATTCTATCAATCGCGATTGCGATACGTGCACTCCAAACACTATTTTAAGCGTGGTTTTTCCCCTTTTTCTTTATATTACATTACAATTTTATTTTACAGTTAAAACTTACAAAACCTAACTTCATACGAATCTTATGCATATCACAGACATACCTTCACTTCACTAATTTACATTTTCAAACCTCTCTGTAAACACTTTTTGTCTATAATCCAGTGTCACGTACTTTTTTAGCACTTCTTCGAATAGTGGCACTCGCCTTCAAAACCTACATCTATCTGCTACCTCCCAGCTACTGCTTCGTGCTTCTCTGTGCGCATATTACCATGCATACATGGTATATACTTTGTTTTTGGTTTCGTTGAAGGATACGGTCTTTGGAATTATATTGATAGGGTCACCTTTATTGCGCGTATTACACTCCTTGCCCGCCCCACTGCTTTTGTCTTCTGCCAACATTGTTTCCACCCTCTTCAACTCTGCTTCCGTCTGCTAACAATATATCCACTCTCTGCACCTCTGCTTCCTTCACTACTACTGCAGTTGGTGGATTCTAATTCTTTCCTGCAGCTTCCATCTCAGTCTCGCATTACGCGACATGCCTGGAGGTACATCCCTAAAAAGGGGTCTATTTTCTACATTAGGGATGTAAGTTTCAGTAGGTGGATCATCACCCCGATTTTCTTCCGTTGGTACTTCCGGAGCAGGGTTCCTGGGTCCATATCTTCGGAATCCATTCCGCCGAACCGGTGTAGTGTCCATGGGCGTCCTGGATCCCGTCGGCTGGTGAGGTGGTCTGGTTTCCATGAGCCATCGATCATCATCCCAATTTTCTTCTTCTTGAGGGGAAGACTTTATTTTAAACGGTCTTACCACCGCCACAGGCTTTCCTTCCCACACCGTAGGCAACTTAAATTTCTGTAGACTCAATTGCTTCTTACACACTGTTTGCTAACAACTGACTTCTCTCCGCGCGTTCCACAATTTAAGCACATATTTCCAAGGTCATCCCTTCTATATCTCAAGGTCATTCACTCCTACAAGGTCACACCCACTCAAGGCCGAGAGTGCTCGAGGTCATATATGTTCAAGGGCACACTTCAAGGTCACTCGGAAACTCAAGGTAACATTTCAAGGTTACACTTAAAGGCACATTTCAAGGTCACATTTCAAGATAACACTTCAAGGTCACTCGAAAAATCAAGGTCACACTTCAAGGTCACTCGGAAACGCAAGGTCATATTTCAAGGTCGCAATTCTAGGTCACATTTCAAGGTCATACGTCAAGTCCACTCGGAATCTCAAGGTCACGATTCAAGGTCACACTTCAAGGTCACATTTCAAGGTTGGCACCGAAAGTCAGCTCTCAAGGTCGTTTGGCACCGAAGGTCAGCGCTCAAGGGCGTCCCAGAACATACTAACCCTATCTACTATATACCCTAAGCGTAGATAGAACCAATGCGTTGCTTTCTTCTCCGATTCACGTAATATGTAACAGCTATGAACGTGCAAGAAATATTGTAGGTTTGTACTTTTGTAATTTGCGCAGTTCAAAAGATTTTATATCTCAGTAGATTAAGTAATTTGGGATTTTAAGATATTTTTAAGCACTTAAAGTTTTAAAATTAATTTATCTCTTTCTCTATCCGTTAAATAATGTAATAAACCGTTCGGGTAGTGCATATGTATAAAAAAATCAACAAATAACTGTAATTGCGTTTTCGCGGAAAATCTTTTTTTTTTTAATTTGGAGCATGGTGGAATCATCTAACGTGAAAAACAAAAGTATCGTGTACCCTAATCCGAAGCAAACGAGACATATTAATAATTTAACAGCACTACCAATCAACTTTATTCGAATTATGATAGATACTTCATTGACCGATACATGTGCCCATATCTTCTTAAAGTTAATTTCATTATTTTGCCTGTACCTCGAACTGTTGCATGACTCGAATGCAAAAATTAAACTCTCCTACATTAAATGTTTAATAAACTGTATTGAAAGCACGAAAATGTATTTCAAAAGGCAATATCCAAGCAATAAATGGTGCTCTTAACTGCAGTTGACGCTCAACATTAAATGCAAATTTGATGGAAATGGCAGGGGGTCATAACAGCATGTGTTGCTCATTTTTTGGCGGTTGTGTCAGTTATTTAAAAAAACAGCTGTTATGTGACTAATAGTGCTATTACCGCTTCATTGGCAGAGTGAAAATTAAACTAAAAACCTCTGATGTTCTGAATATTACCTGCAGCTGCCAACGTTAACGTACACAGTGGTCCGAGGTTACATGTTAAAAGCTCACTAGGGTATTCGCGGGTAGAGCTTTGGGGCTCGAGCTGCCCCCAGAACCCCATGACCTAGTACATTTTTCTTTATATAATAATGCATGTTGTACCTTACTCAAAGGGTGAATCCCCCACCAGAACCTTTTTCTGTATACGTCAGTACCAAAGACTACACATATTTAGTGATGAATAGTATCTGTACTATAAGTTTTCCAACATACAGGGTGTTTCAAATTTGACCCTCACCACTGGAATCTCGGAAACAGCAAGTGGCTTAAATGGATAAAAAGTTGCGAAGCTAGGTAATCAACAAGAAGCTCCCTAGAAAGTTTTAAAATACAAAGTACTTCCGGAGATGGACGGAAAAACAGCCCTGACTTTATTTGTAGTGGGATTCCAAAATAGATTGCACATTAACATTGCCACTTTACTCATCTACAAACGCTCAATCAGAATTTCAATATGACGTTTCGTAACTTGTCCTTCAGCATCAACTTTATCTTTTTCTTATGGAAGGTGATGCTAATCCGTCTGGATGGATGAAAGAAATGAACTTTATGAAGTACGCCAAACATTTCGTGAAACATGTTAAGCCTAGTAAAGAAAAACCTGTACTTTTTTTGTTGGATAACCATGACTCTCACTTATCAATTGGATCGTTGGATTACTTTAAAACTGATGGGGTGACATTTTTATCAATCCCTCGACATTGTAGCCACAAGCTACAACCTCTTGACAGATCTGTGTACGGACCACTGAAAAAGTATTTCAACCGAGAATGTGACTGGCTGGCTAGTAACCCGGGAAAGACTATCAAAACTTATGAAAGACCGGAGCTGGTTAAAACGTCACTACCATTGGCTGCTACAATTGAAAATATTCAATCAGGATTCGGAGTATCCGGGATTTCACCATTGAATGAAAACATTTTTTCTGACTCCGAGTTTAGTGGTTCTTATGTGACAGATAGGCCGATGCTCACTTCCCCTGATGGTGATAATGCTTCAGCATGTGATGTGACAACAGTGTCTGTTCCATCGTCGAAGAGGTATCAATTCCTGATCACCATACAATAACTGAAACTCAGTCTCTGGCACAACAATGTTTATCTGTAAATACACACCAGATTACTACCACAACACCCTCTCCTACAAGATCTTTGAGGAATGAATGTGAGTCACCTTCTCTTTTTGACGAAACACTCAATTCTGTATTAGAACTAGAACCAACTGAGAGAAAACCTCAAAACACCAGAAAGCGTTCATTCTACAGAAGCAGATGTGCCCCCATCTTTACACAATCTAAACCTTTCCTCAACTTCACCAGCAACATTTGAAGAGGTAAGACCCTTTCCAAAAGCGGCGCCACTTTTAGGAAATAGAGGAAATAGTCGGAAACGTAATAGTGCTATATAATACCGACACCCCGGAAAAACTAAATCTTTTAGATATGAAAAACAAAAAAGAGAGACATATAAGAAGAAAGAAGCAGATACAAAGGACAGAATAGAAAAAGAAAAAGGGAAGGGCAAAGGAAAGGGTAAAGGAAAAGGAACGGATACAGTTGTTAAAATTGTTGATGACAGTGTCGATGAAAATGACGGTAATGCTGTAGATTCAGATGACGAGGGTACGGTTTGTTTAGAGTGCACTGAATCCTATGTCGATAGTGTTCCAGGCGAACAGTGGATTCAGTGCAAACCTTGTAAGTTATGGGCTCATTCCAAATGTGTAAAAGGTGATCTAATGTTTTTTGAATGCAAACTTCTGATAATAATAATAATAATAATAATAATTATAATAATAATAATAATAGTAAGCGTTTATTGCCCAACAGTTTAACACCATTTACAGAGCAAACTACTATAAAAAAAACACCATGAGGTAGCTTGTTAAGAAAAAAAAACAATAATAATTCATGTATCAATAACAAAAAATAAATATAGTTACAGCTTAAAAATAAGAAACGTATGATAAATCAAAAGTGAGCACGCAATTTGCACTTCAATTCACCTATGCTATATAAGAATATGTCACATACATCGGCTATTTTATTCGCATTTACACACATCATGTTGACAGGCGCTTTCGACAATAAGTTTGTTTGAGCTCTTTGACATAAAAAAGGAACATTATACCTTGATGTTAGTCGTGGTACCAGAAACTGTATTTGTGAAAGTATTGTAGGGCAGTCTATTAGATTATGCAGTAATTTATATAAAACTATAACTGCTGATTGCTGACGCCGTTGTTCTAAGGATTGAATGCCAAATTTATGAAGAAGGATGTTGTATTCTGTACCTCTAGTAGGATATATGCCATCGATCTTAAAACATAAAAATTTTAAAAATTTCTTTTGAAGTTTATCAACAACATCAATATACTGCTTGTAAATCGGACTCCATATCAAAGATCCATATTCAAGCTTAGACCTAACCAAGCTAAAGTATAATGTCTGCAAAGTCAAAACGTCAAAAGATTTACAATTCCTGATAACGAAGCCATAGGTTCGGTAAGCACTTGATATGATTTGATTGATATGCTCATTAAAGGTTAGATGTTGATCAAAGTAGATACCTAAGTCTTTCACAGTTTCACTGCGCTCAAGAACATGTTGGATCATTGTATAATTATATACCATTTTGTTGGTTTTACTTGAAAAAGTTACTACTTTACAATTACTTATATTAAGATGAAGTTGATTCTTGGCACACCAGCTCTGCAATTTATTTATTTGACCTTGAACAAATGCACAGTCTTCCAAGCACGAAACGGATGAATAAAATTTTAGGTCGTCTGCAAACATTATTTTAGAACAAGCCAAAGATTCAGACAGATCATTCACAAACAATATGAACAACAGTGGTCCTAAATTCGAACCCTGTGGTACGCCACTGGCTGAGACATAAACATGTGATATGTAGCCATTATAAAAAACATACTGTTTCATTTCAAACAGATATGATGTTAAGAGCGCTAAGTAAATGTTGTTGAAACCCAGGTACTCAAGCTTTCGGAGCAAAATACTGTGGCTGACCCTATCGAAGGCCTTGGAGAAATCGGTGTACACCACATCTACCTGTCCTCTATTGTCTAATCTTTCGCACAAGTATTGGCTAAATACCATTAAGTTTGTTAGTGTTGAACGCTGCCTTATAAAACCATGTTGGTCGATGGAAATATTATTTTTAGTGGACAGGTAAATGCGGTTGTACAGTACGATCTCCAAGAGTTTTGCAAAATTATTGAGTATAGATATAGCCCTATATTCACTGATACAGTGATAATTTTTTGACTTTGGTATTGGGCAAACTTTGGCAATTTTCCATTTATCGTGGAAAACAGTCGTTGTTAGGATTAAATTGAAGATAACCCGTAAAGGATGAACTAATTTCCTGATACATTTGATCAGGTCCAGCAGTCAATTTACTTTTAAGCTTTCTACAGGCCACTAAAATTTCCTCATCTGATATTGGCTCACAACTAATGTCGACGAGTCCACTATGACTGAAATCAAAGTTCAACTCAGTATCGACTTTAGCAGTTGAGTAAACGCTGGAGAAAAAATCAGCTAAGGCGTTGACTATACTTTGCGGATCACCAAATGACTCGTTTCCATACAACATTCTATTCGGAATCCCAGAAGTGTTGTTTTTACTATGTACGAAAGACCAGAAAGACTTAGCGTCATCATTTAGCTGAATTTGAATGGTTTGAAGATAGATATTATATGCCTCTTTGGTTTTAAGCTTAAATATTTTCCTGATTCTGCTGAATTCTTGGTAATCTTCGTTAGCACCAGACCTTTTAAATTTTTTGTGCGCTTTGTCTTTTTGTTTTACTAGTTTTATAATTTCACTGGTGTACCAAGAGGGATATTTATGCCTGAAATTTTTATATTGTGGAGCGTGTGCATCGAATAATTCGTAAAGTTTGGTATAAAATGCATTAATTGCATCATTTGTGTCACTAGTGTTATCCAAGAAATCCCAATTAACCAATAACAAAGAAGTGTACAGCGAAAAAAAGTTAGCACGTCTAAAATTATATCTGTTTTGGTCAGTACTGACTGTGACGTATTCACTCTTTTTGCAGACAGTTTTTAATGTTACGGACAAAGAAGGATGATACACGTCTTCATCCACTAATGGAGCTAAATCTCTATAAACAATACAATTAATGTTACTTATTACTAAGTCCAGGATTCTATCATATTGGTTATTAATATTATTATACTGTTTCATGTTCCAGAAGTTGAGCCAATTAACAATGTAGCGGGTCTTTGCGTCATTTAAATTATTTTCCACAAAGTTTGGAGAATTGAAATCACCCAGAAAGACAACACGTTTGGAATGCATGATTTCCCAGTTTTCTAACATTTCAAAAAAAGCTTCAAATGTATCAACAGAAACATGTTGTGCAGCATATATGACAGCGAAATAAAGATTCTGATGAGATACAATGCATTTGCATACCAAAAAATCTATTTCTGGGAAACTTGTATCAAACTGCGTAGTATCTACTACAACAGAGTTAAGAGCCGCTTCAAATGCCAGTAGTACACCACCACCCATTGACAGGTTCAATTGATTATGTTTTCTGTCCTTACGATGAACGTCAAAAGAATTGGGAAATAATTCGAGAGAGTTTACTTCGGGCTTTAGCCACGTTTCGCTTAAAGCAAATACATTATACCCACAGTCACTCACAGCAGGATAGAATTTGTTAATTTTGCTGTTTAGCCCTCTAAAATTCTGATAGTACACTGTCAAAAAATCACTACATCCACTATTGGGCCGACCTAGTTTAAAGGAACAATCCTTGGTACATTATTGATGAACTTGATCCTACAGTTATTATCTCCTGCTTCATGACGCCTGGCTAACTCAGTTCTGATACTTTTATAATGCTCCATTTGCCTTTTGGTGCGATCCTGTACGATGTTTACATGCTTGAAGGTATTACTTGATTTAAGCTTTTTCGCATTCACCAGAACCTGCAATGCAGAGTCATAGCTGTCAAGTATTACCTTGATGGGTCTAACTTTTGTGCCGCAAAACATTCCTAATCTCATCACTTTTATGTTGGTTAGCCTCACGTCAGGGACAGCTTCACGTAACAAGTTGACGACAACTGTTTTATCAGATTCATTTTGCTCACTTCTGGCTTTTTGATCAGGCTCAGTGACACTAAAGACTATTACGTTGTTTCTACGTCTTTCACGCTCTGAAATCTCAGATATGATGTCTTCCATGGAAAAACTTGAATCTGCATTTTTGGTGTTATCAGTTTTCAAATCCTTTATTTGATTACGCAAATCGATGATTAATGCCTTCAAGTCATTAATGTCTTTACCTATGGATCTGCAGTCCTTACAGGTCCAATCGTACCCCTTGCTCGAATTTAAAGTACGAACCTCATTTGCGCTGATTTCCACACAGGAATGCTTGTATTTCTGCTTACAAACACAGCACGAAACAATTTGATGAGGCTCACACTGTTGATTACAGCAGCTGCAAGGGACTCTAGCTGGCATAATTATGAATTTTGTGTGCAAATGTTTGTTTTCTAAATCAACACAAGTACGCCACTGGAAAACTATTTCCACTTTGTTTCAATGAAAATTCCAGAAATTCCACCAGAGATTGTAGAGGTTAGCTTTCTTTTATTATCAAAAAAAACTGTGTTAAACTATTAAAGATGAACTAGAAAAACTTGCCCAATGCTCAGTAATTACGTGAGCGTAACTATGATACTCGCAAACAAATTTTCAATTGAGTCTCACTACCGATCTTAGAACCTATAACGGAGCTAGTAAAACACGTATTGTTAGTGGTGATTCTGATTCTCATGCACGACTGATATTGAAGACTTATATTATAAGATATAAAGGAACTGCTTAGTAAATGAAACTAATAAATGTTTAAATCAAAACTAGGATTTGATAGTTTTGTTAAAGTCTTATTGTAAGATAACGTCGGTAACTGATTAAAATTGTTCTTGAAGAAAAAGTTTTGCTAAATTATAAAAAAGTTTCATAACTTGACTCTTCTCATAATTTTTCACTTATTGATACGTAAGTCTACTTACCCCGGGCAGTTAGTCAATTTACCCCGGAGCCGGGGTAAATTGTCTAATCACTGGACAACAAATTTTAGTTTTTTAATTGTATCTTGTGGGAAAAGTGCACTTCTTTGTTAGTTTTGGGGCGCTGAATCCAAAAATGACAATGAAATAAAAAAATTAGTTGCGGTTTAGATAAAGAACTTTTTATTTTTAAGGATATATTAAAAAAAGTAACAAGATTCATATACTTATAAGAATCACTATATGCGCTGTCTTTTTGCTGTTCTTTTATGGATCGTTTCTGGAGCATCTCTACCAAGAGTCCAACAGTAGTCTGCAAGCATGGAAGGATTCCACTTTCCCTGGTACCTTTTTTCCATTGTTGAAATATCCTGATGAAAACGTTCGCCATGCTCATCACTTACGGCTCCGCAATTGTCTGGAAAAAAGTCCAGGTGTGAGTGTAGGAAATGTAGCTTAAGAGACATATTATAGCCCATCTTTTGATATGAGGACAGCATATTTTTGACAAGGGTTTTATAGTTGTCAGCTTTTCTATTTCCCAAGAAATTAGTAACCACCAGACGGAAATCATTCCAAGTAGTTTTTTCAATACCTGTTAAAGTGTTTTCAAACTATGTATCTTTCAAAACATTTCGGATCTGTGGCCCAACAAAAATACCTCGTTTAACCTTTGCCTCACTTAGTCTTGGAAATTTCTGACGCAGGTATTGAAAGGCTGACCCATCTCTGTCTAATGCCTTGACAAAGTTTTTCATTAGGCCCAACTTGATATGCAGTGGTGGTAATAATTTTTTTTTCGAATCTACTAATGGCATATGCTGTACATTTTTTTGACCTGGCTCTAGGAATTGACGAACAGGCCAATTTTGTCTGGTGTAATGAAGTGCCTTTGCCCGACTGTCCCATTCACACAAGAAACAGCAAAACTTTGTGTAGCCTAGCTGCAGCCCAAGGAAAAGTGCAACAACTTTCAAATCGCCACAAATATGCCATTGGTGCTCATCGTATTTCATGCATGTCAATAGGTACTTCATATTGCCATATGATTCTTTCATGTGAACTGCATACCCTACAGGAAGAGATGGTAAAATATTTCCAATATGCGATAACACTGCCTTTAAACTCAATGTTGAACTGTCTATAAACAATCTCCATTCTTCTGGGTTATAGTTTATATTTAAAGCCTCCAGTAAGCCGTTAATGTTACTGCAGAAAACCAAGTTATCTCCATATTGAAAAATGGCGTTTACGAAAAACGCATACCGAAACATCGTCTTCTAACAAGTTCCACTGCTGCAGTCTTGATCCAAGTAACTCTGCCTTACATTTTGGAAGTTCTAAATCTCTTACAAGATCATTTAATTCTGACTGTGTTATTTTGTGCTTGTTGGTGGCATGACGTGCTCGGTATAAAATCAGGATCTCGTGACGTTGATGGCATATCTTCTTCCTGACGAATAACTCGAT